TCAAAAAAATCTCAAAATTACCTTTCGGGGTGGGAGACAAAGACCTTTAGGAATATCTGCATGGGACAGGAAGAGACAAGAAGGAAATGCTGATGTAAAGATCCTGCCCTTACCAAAGTGACTCAATGTGTAATACTTAATAAATTTGATGCTCGCCCTTCAAAGATTTATTCTTCTATTTATTTCTATCCTACCTTTATTATTTAACAAATAACTCAAGGTGGTAAACACTTCCAACACACCTTCCTCCTCCTATTTCCCCCACAATAGCCTTATGAGGTGAGTTGGGCTGACAGAGTATAACTGGCTCAAAGTCACCCAGCTAGCTAGAACTCACAGTCTGCTGATAATTGGCCCAAAGTCATCAAGTCAGTTTTCATGCCTAAGGAGGGACTAGAACTCACAGTCTGCTGATAATTGGCCCAAAACCATCCAGTGAGCTTTCATACCTAAGGAGGGACTACAACTCATCATCTGGTGATTTACCCACAGTCACCTAGCTGACTTCCGCTTAAGATGGAACAAGAACTCACCATATCCTGGTGATTAGCCCCAAATCACCCAGACAGTTTTCATGCCTAAAGTGAGACTAGAACTCACAATTGCCCGCTTTCTAACCTGATGTCTTAACCAGGTATCAGATCATTTTTTATCCCATCACAGTGTGATAAAGGGCTCTTTTAGCAATAAGCAGCTATTACAAATACAAGCATGTGATCCTTAATCTCCTAAAAACAAAGGATGCCAGGAGCACTTAAACACCTGATCCCCTTGGCTCCAGCAGAGCTAGGCTCTTCAGTGATCTTACAATGGAAGACAGAGGAAGAAATAATCCAGTTGCCTTCTGAAAAAGCGCCTTTGGGACATTTCATTTTATGATAGCTTGTGAACAGTTATGGCCTGCTTCTACACTGAATCTGGGCAAGTAATAAAGCTAATTCAGAAACAAATAAGTTCTAGTTCATTACTCAGTGTCATAACCGGGGGTTTTCATTCATAATTGACCCTTTCATATTTAAAAAAAATGAAAATGAGTGGAAGTAAACAACACCTGTTACTATACAATGAAAATGAATTCTTCCAGTGGCAGAGGGATGGACAGATGCGTAGTTTGATCGGTTTAAACCATAAGCCAGAACTAACACCAGCTTAATTATAAATTTCACTCACCATTTTTGGAGAATGTCAATTTGGTTGTGACTGCTCAAGACTCCAAAAACAAATTGAAGCAGTATAATTACACCAGAGATATCATATCAGGTTCACTTACTTCAGAGTAAATCCTTTTATACTCACTGAGGATTACTTCTGAATAGTAACTGGTTTACATTGTGATGGTCATTGATTACCTAGACCTGGGTTTTGTCTGAGATAAATATTCTCACTTCTAGATAGTTTCCAAATAATTAGCATAAAACTCAAGAAACTTAAGTTTCTGAGGTATATTTGGAATTTTACTAGCTGGGAATAGGAAGTTTATGTGTTAATACATGATAATATATGCCTTCTAAGGGGTTGTGCATATTGTATGTTGTCAAGTAAATGCACCATGACGGCAGCAAGCACACTACTTACAGCAACTTGGCTGATTAATTTATTGGTTGATTTTATGCCATCAAGTCAGACTTTTTTTCAGGACCATCTGCCCCAGTCAGATCTTCCATCAGTGCACTGTGACTGAGTCCATCTCACCTAGTCAGCCTATTCTCCTGTCTTCCACCTTGCCCAACATTATGGACTTCTCAACAGAATTGGATTTTCAGTATCCAAAATACCATAATTTGAGGCTGGTCATTTGTACCCCAAGTAAGAACTTTGAACTGATTACTTCTTTGACCCATTTGTTTTCTTGGCTAACCATAGTATTACACCAAAGCTCAAATTCATCCATAAACCTTCTATCCCACTTCTTCAAAGTCCAACTTTCATGCACATGAAGTGCCATAGGGAAACCATTGACACATCATGGCTTCCAGCCGTGGGGTTCCATGATTTTAAATGAATCCAGGCTCAGAGATAAATGTTATGGCAGGGGGTGAATTATCATTTGTGTGCCTCAGTAGTGTCAGGGCCATGCAATTGTTTGATAAGCCCCCCTTCTTTGTATATATCTGCAAAAACGAGTGAATATAAAAATATAATAAATCTTCCCAATACTCTTTTGCCTAGAGACTTAGCTCTTTTCATAACAATGGTTTGGAATTGTCATATTTGCTAGCAGATGATGTATTCATTAGTTGCTCATTTAGAGACCATATAACAGGACATATTGACTTTATTTCTGCAATCTAGGTAATTCAGTGGCCCTGTTAGCAAAAATGTCAAGATTTTGTGCTGTGTCAGTTAGACATGAGAGCGTTTCCATGACCACAGCTTCTGACACAATCACCCTCTAAAATACAGCATTCTAACATCTCTTGCATAGTAATTCTTTAGAGAAAACTACAGGTAATCCTCAAATTACAATAGTTTATTTAGTGATGAAGTTACAATGGCATTAAAAAAAGTCACATGATTGTTTTTCACACTTATGACCATTGCAGCATCCCCATGGTCATGTGATCCAAAATCAAATGCTTGGTAACTGACTCATATTTATGATGGTTGCCGTGTCTTGGGGTCATGTGATCAACTTTTGTGACTTTCGGGCAAGCAAATGGGGGAAGCTAGGTTCACTTTATAACTGTATTACTAACTTAATAGTGACCGATTTAACAACTTTGGCAAGAAAGGTTGTAAAATGGAGCAAAACTCACTTTACAACTGCCTCACTTAGCAACAAATTTTGGGCTCAATTGTGGTTGTAGATCAAGGACTACTGATTTGCTCCCTGCAGTACAAGTCAATGAATGACTTCATTTTAATTCTGTGAACCTTGGCAACTATAAGACATGTGGGCTTTAACTCCCAAGACTTCTAACTGGAGAATTCTGGGGGTTGAAATCCTCACATCTTAATGTTGCCAAGGTTGAGAAATACGGTGTTAAGAGAGTGGGAAGGAGATAGACCACTAAGACCTACTTGAGTATCATAACTTCGCATTGTGGCTATTTAAGAAAGAAAGCAGAATTGCTCTCAAAGCAATGGAAAAAGTTCAGAAAAGAGCAACTAAGATGATAAAGGCCTAGAGACTAAAACTTATGAAGAATGACTGCAGGACTTGGGTTTGGCTAGTCTAAAGAAAAGAAGAAATAGGGATAATAGCAGTATTTCAGTATTTTGAGGGGCTGCCACAAAGAAGAAGGGGTCAAATTATTCTCCAAAGCATCAGAGGGCAGGACAAGAAACAATGAATGGAAACTGTCCAAAGAGAGAAGCAACCTGGAATTAAGACAAAACTTCCTAACCGTAAGGACAATTAACCGTTGGAACAGCTTGCCTTCAAAAATTGTGGGCACTCCATCATGGGAGGTTTTTAAGAAGAGGATAGATAGTCACTTCTGAAATAGGGTCTCCTGCTTGAGCAGGGGGTTGGACTAGAAGACCTCCAAAGTCCCTTCCAGCTCTATTCAATTTTATAGAAGCATTTGAGGAAGCTTTAGTGGGCCCAAAAGCAGACAGTTGATGAATACAGATAATTTTGAAAGGTCACCATTTGGATTTTTTTAATGTAACATCAGCAATTTGTTTATTACAAGCTCCCAACTACAGCACAGTAAAGTATAGATTACTATAATATTACAGATATTCAAATAATTAAAAAAGTGGAATGAAGATGCCAAAATATTGTTAACATTTGTTCACCTGCATAAAACTACGAGAATCCAGATATCATTAAAGTAACATTTTTAAAAAATATATAAGAATATTTGTGACTAATACAGGTTTGTTATGGGTTACAATTTGTCCTCAACTAACAGCCATTTGTTTAATAACCATTCGAAGTTACAATGGCACTGAAAAAATGATTGCAACCATTGCAACATCCCCATAGGATGATCAGAATTTGGCTACCCTTGGCTACGGGCATGTATTTACAACAGTTGCAGATTGTCAGGATCATGCAACTCCCATTTGCTATCTTCCCAGCCAGCTTCCAATAAGTAAGGTCAATGGGGGAAGCCAGATTCTCTTAACAACTGCAGTGATTCACATAACGACCGTGACAAAAAAGGCTGTAAAACCGGGTGTGAATCACTTAACAACCACCTTAGCAGTGGAAATTCTGGTTCCCATTGTAAGTTGGGGATTAGCTGTATTTTGAAATACATGAATATCCTTTGAATATTATTATTATTATTTTAAATTATTTATTTTAATACCATAAGTTCTTTCTAATGATTCATGTCTTCCTGAGGATTGCAGTGAAGACTAACATAGCTGATATAACTGACAATATTTTCCCTCCCTTCCCAATCTAATATCATCTTCCTTTTAATTTCATCCTCACTTGCCAAAGTTTTATTTTTCAGATCAAAGATGTATGCATGGGTTTGCTATAAATTGTTATGCCTAACAGTAAACAGGAAGCTCAAATCAAAAGTTCAGGAATGACTGACATTTAGTTGACACCATAAACCTTTGCTTAACAACAGGAAAAAGACACTGTGACTTTTCTTCTGGTGCTAGCAAATTAATGCCTGGATATATTTACAATGGATTAGAACTGTGTTTTAGGCTATTTCTCTATTGGCTTTAGTTATAACTGTAAATGCTGCCTCTGGCAGACTGCAGTATCCTCATTATTGGTTATTCCAAATTTAGTTATTGCTGGGAGCCTGTGCCCCAGCATCATCAAAGATATGGTCTCCATGGCAATGAAACAAAGCCTCAGGACTCACAAAAGCACCCGACCAGGTGCAAAGATCTCACAATAGCAGAAGGTGGGCTGATTCTCTCTGCTCCAACAGAACAAAATTAGTTTTTAGGACTCCCCCCCCCCCACTTAATAAATGCAACTGAACCAGGTTTTTTTTTACACTAGGTTTTAAGCAACTATCCATATCTTGTAATTACTAACCTCATTTTTTCCCTCTCTCATTTTTTATTTCATTCTGCAGATGTACCGGTATTCGTATACTGCTTTTTATGTCCTCAGAAAGCTGCCTAATGGGTAAGTGATACAACAAAGACTCTACATTTCATGAATAGGCTGTTTGGCTTATATGGGTTAATTGGGGAAGGAGGGGGACACTGGATACTGAGCACAGGGCAGCTATTCCCAAACGCCAGCAATTAAGCAGAACTTATAATAAAATCATGAAGTTTCCCTTGAAACAGAAATAGAAGAACCAGGACTGTAAACCATGCATTCAAAGGTCTTCAGTTGTGCAGTCATGGCCACCATTTGATGTTTTTGACATCTTCTATAGAAATACCATTGCTTTCAATATATATATATATTGAAATATATATATATATTCAATATATATATATATTGAATATATATATATTCCTGTAGAATTTAACAGGTAATGAATGGCTCATTATATAAATAGTAACAAAGCATTCTGCTTTATTGGTCTTTGTTGTCCATTCCATTTGTAAACTAAGTCTTTCATTCATGCAGGAAAAGCAAGGGGTTTGCTTAGCTTATGTTATATGAATTCAGCCAGCATGGTTAGTGAACACAAATAATGTCTTAGTATGCGTTGCAAACCCAGCCAATTGTGGCTTTTTCCAAAATCCATGTTTATACAAACTCAACTTAGCTTGACACATAAACCTAACTATTAAGATAAGAGGGTGAAAGAGCTCACATTAACTTCTCTTGCTATGTGAAAGAAGTCTCAACAAGTGTTTGACTTCTTCCCTAATCACATGATTCTGTGTGGTCTGCAAGATTGAATGATAAACTTGAACTCAGACTGGGCCTGATCTGTTTACATGCAAACAAAGGAAGGGAATGGCTTTGCATATAGAATGTCCAATGCATAAGAAGCTAATGCAGTGCAGATTCTGTACCACAATATTATTTTTCCCAAAACCAATCCAGAACAGATGACATTCTTTGGGGGAAGTGACCCAGAGAATGCCTACTATCCAAGATCATACTGGATGGATGGAAGCCCATGGGAATAGGGGGTGCTGTAGAGCCAAGATCTTAAGAAATGTAGGGTTTTAAAAATGTCAATGGTATTGTGATGAAATATAGTTTAGAAGTGGAGTCCCAGGACAGAAGAAGTGCATTCCAGGGAAGTATGAAACAATTCAGCCCAGGTATTATGTGTGAGAGAAAGAAGGTGAAGACAAACCCTCCTTAATAGTTCACAGAGTATTTTGTAGAAGCAGACAGTAGAGTCCTCAATTTGGCAAGATTCTGTCTATAGGTATGAAACAATAATGAACTCACTCAACTTGGAAGAACTGCCACATGTCATTCTTTGGTTCTGACAAGCACTTTAACTGACACTCAGGAGATAACAGGCTCCAAAAATAGAAGTGTTATGTGGGGATACTCAGTCACTCAGGACAGTTGATTCTGGACCAGTTGAATCTTCCAAATGGTTTTTAAGGGCAGCCCCATGTAGATCACACTGCAGTACTCTAAACAAGAGAAGACCCACTACAACATAGTCCTTGGAGGTGGTTTAAGAGGATATACTGATTATTTCCCTGATGATGCCATGATGCATGTGACATGAATTTTGGATTACTCTAGATGCCTGTGTCATCTTCAGGAAGATGGTCATCTTCTCAGGTGATCCCTATCTTTGAAACAGCTTCCCCCCCCCCAAATTACACTATCCCCCTTCCTGTTATTAGAAAACTATTTTGCTATTCCAAAAGCTTTGGGAGAAGAACTACTCTGAGGAACACACACATACACACACACACACAGAGAGAGAGGGGGGGGGAGGGAGGGAGAGAGATCTATGGCTAAACACCCTCTTTTCAGACAGATTTAAAATATTGCAAATTGTTGCAGAAGTGGTGCAAAACATGCAAAAAAGGCACCCAGCAAAATAATCTGACCCATCCATTAAGTGCCTTTGCTTCAGAAGGGATCTCTTATTTCTAGAATTGGTTTGGCTTGGGTTATTTTATTAAAACTCAGTTGATTTTCATCAGTGGCCAGACGTGATGAGGAAAACCATTTCATAAGTATTGTTATTAAATCAAATGTTTGGTTTCTACTCATTCCCACTTCAGCATTATTCTTAGCAGCTATGCTAGCTACCATCTGTGACATTTTGCAATTTTAGAGCTTCCTAGCCTTTAGAGTCAGACCAGATCCACTCCACGAATATTATCCAGGACACCTTTTATTATTATTATTTTTGCAACAGAACTGCCTCTTGAATGCCTCTATTTTCAGCAGCAGATGTTCAAATTAGTGGCTTATTGGCAGAGCTGGAAACAAAACCTCTGGACTCTGTTTTACATTCACTTTTCTGTTCTTTTCCTAAATTTGGGAGTGAAGTTTAGGTTAAGCCAGAGCGCCACCTTGTGGTCCTTATGGGATCCTCCTTTTCTTACAAGAGTGAGCCATACAAATAATCACACTAAATATTCTAGTGATGAGCTGCCCTGTTTTGATCAATGGACTACCTAATTTTCAAGCAGAAGAAGCATTGCATAAAAGCCTGCATGTACCTGTGGGTGTTCATGACTCTTTGTGACCAGTAGCCATGATTTCTCCGGGATTTTCTGCCAGTGACAGCTTCTTTGAGTTCTTGAAAGCTCATCCTTAATGCCCTCAAAAATACTATCCATTCACTGTCTTCTATTAACCTCTTTTTCATTGGCCTTTGATCTTTCCAAAATCAGATCTTCTCTAATGGCTCTTGTCTTCTCAAAATGAGTCCAAAATATCTAAGCTTTGGCTTCATTTTCAGTGCTTCTATTGCACAGTTGGATTTTATGTCATTTCATAATGGGTGATTCATTCTAGTTTTCTCCAGCACCACAATTCAAAAGCAACCATTTATCATTATCCAGTCCTTTAGATGGTCTGGTTGTTACAGCCATATGCTACCACCGTGAAAACTATAACCTTGACAATATGTGCTTTTGTTGCTAATATGAAATCTCTGTACTTTGCCTAGATAGTTCATACTTATTTTCCCCAGTAGCAACTTACCGAGATTGAAAAACATAGCTCCATCCACTTTTATACCATTCAGAAACATAGCCTTTAAATTTCTTTTTTATGTTCCTCCTTTCCCAAGTTAAGATATTATTTCCTGTTGCTTTCATCTGCCAATAGTCCTTGCACAGTTTTGCCTTATATCGCTGTTTTCTTCCAGTGCAGGATTCCTCCGTTAATTTATCTTCTATACTTGCAGAAAACATTGAACTGTAAATTAATAAAGGAAGAACTGAGCTTATCCAAGATGTTAAGCTAAAAAAAATGTTTGTTACAGTTAAAGACAATCAACATTTATGATTGATGGGACTTGGATGACTATCCAGCTAATTATAATGTTTATTTATGGTCATTGCCATTATCAGTAGGATGGATAGTTCTCTTGGGAGTGACTGGCAGTCTCATAAAAGTAGAGTTGCTAATAGTTTAAAAATAGAAATATTAAATTTTTTATAGAAATTAAAAACCCAAAACAGTAAAAAAAATCTACATTTAGCAATCAGCACAAAATTTCACATGTTTTCAGGTTGAAATACCTATTACGAATGTTATCAATGACCTTTTCCTTCTTGATCATACTTTATTAAATAATATTTTAAAAAATATTAAAATATCAGATTGGAGGTAAATCTTATGGATTAAAGATAAACAGTAAATTTTGTGACATATATCACTGCATGCATTTGAACAGAAGCCAGATTGTCATGTTTTGGTTTCCATAGTAGCAGATTTACAGGGCTGGTGGTTGGACTAGATCAGAGGTCCCCAAGCTTTTGGGCACCAGGGACCGGTTCTATGGAGAGAGGGTTTTCCGTGGACCAGAGGGGGCGTGGCTTCATGTGCTGCCTGCATCCTATGGATGGAGCTTTGCTTGCTTGCGCGGACCGGTTTCTGGCATGCCACGGCCCGGTGCCGGTCCACCGCCCAGGGGCTGGGGACCCCTGAATTAGATGACCTTTAAGGCTCCCTTTTTACCCTTCCATTCTGTGATCTTAACTTCTGATCTGTGAAACTTATTTGCCTCAGTTCTTTGCTGAATTCATAATTATATTTGAGCAGACCTGTGGACAAGATTTGCATCCTTGTATGGCTGCATGTAGTAGAACTGTGCCTCATAAATATAATTGACACATTTGTTAAGGAGCTATTTACGTCCCTCCTTTATTTATACACCCCAAATGATAAACAAAGTAAATCTAATTACCTATGCAGGAATAAGCTGCCATAAAGTAATCATGGTATAAACTAGCACAACACTAATGCACTAAAACAGCTTAAAAGAGATAAAACAACCAAGGCCAGATAATTAGCCATTAAATTCTGCAAAAAAAAAAAAAAACCCAAAAAGGATTTTCAATATTTCTGCAAAACAATTCAGCAAGGAGGCCAAACACACTTCATCTGGATAGTTTTCCCAGGACAGAGCAGCTGTCACTTCAAGGCAGGTTATCTTGTCTCTGGACTTGTATGTGAAATCCTGACAAATGACATTAGGGGATGTTTCCCAAAACCTGAAGCAAGATAACAGTGCTCAAATGATCAGCCTCCACTTAATTTAATGCTTTAAAGCTCTGGCAAAAGCAGAATACATTGATCCTGAGAGAAGATAGTCAGCAAAGTTAATCTGAAATTGAGATGTTCAAGGGGCAAGAAGTTCCAGAGGAACATTTTTTATAATTGTCCCAAAGATGTTTTTCACGAGGCAACTGGACCTTCTTGTTTTTCTTTGAAGACATCTTACTTCTCATCCAAGAAGTTTCTTCAGCTCTGACCACATCATAAACACAGGGCATAATATAGGAAAACAAACCCATCAGGACAAGATTCAGCAGTCCATCTGCATTTAAAAGACAAAAGCCACTCTTTCGAAGACAGCAAAGTCCACATTTTGAACAGAGAGGACCTCTGGTTTGAAAGAGGGGGTATCAAAGAGGCCATCTAGGTCAAAATTGAATAGCCCTCTCTCAACAGAGCAGGAGGAATACAATAGCATCTATCTTCAGTTTACAACACAGTCCTTTCAG